TTCTTGTCTTTGACAGAGCACTTCTCCTTTGACAAGTTTTACATCACCAAACTATGAATGACTGTGCAAACTTTCTACTGGAGTGAGGCCCTTCACTCAGCAGTTTCCCCCACAGCTGCTGAAGCAGCTGTCACACACTTAAGTTGAGACACCATAGGATGAGCAGCAGAGAGGAATCCAAGGACAAGGGGGGCCTGGAACCACAGCCATTGCTCAGATTATCCAGGGTCCCCATACCTAGACACAGGGATGGGGTAGGGAATGTGGCAAACTAAAAGGAAGTAATCTGTCTCTAAACCTCTCCATCACTCACAATTTTACATCCATTTCTTCCATGGCTTTGGGTAATTTTGTCTGAAGTGAAAAAAAACTATTTTACCTAAAGATCTGAAAAAGCCTAATAGAACCCTCCATGTGAAAATCTCCATAGCCCTCTGAGAGACAGTGGGTGGAACAAGGCAGCTGTGTCCCTGTGGAGCTTCCTGGTCATGAGGTAGAGGCCCCTGCCCCAATTGGAGTAAAGGGCCAGGAAAAATGATTTGTTATTTAAGAGGACTAATCAATTACAATTGTGACATCCCCACTACTGACTAGAGATGAAAAACCAGCTAAGGTGTCATTACTATTTAAATCTGTTCTTTCAGCCATTTGTCCCTATTAGTGTGTCTTGTGTATCTTTGAGACTTAAATTTACATGGGGGGGGGCAGGGAACAAGTGCAATGATGCAAATGTAGAAGTCAGAGGTCGACTTCTGGGAGTCAGCTTTCTCCTTTCTCTATGTAGGACTCAGGGACTGAATGCAGGTTGTCAGGCTTGGTGGCCATCTTCTTTACCCACAAGGCCTTCTTGCCTGCCTGAGATGTTTTTGTCATATAGCACAGACTAGCCTTGAACTTGGTATGTGGCTAGGGTGGGTTTCATCTTCTAATGCTGGGATTATGGGTTTGAGTCACCATTCTTTTTCTTATGGCTTTAATAATAAATTTGAATGCCCAATGTGGTGGCTCATGCATGTAACCCAGCGCCAGAAAAGCTGAGGCAGGAGATCTACCAAAGTGAGGCCAGTCTGGGCTATACTCCCAGACCTTGCCTCATGTAAACAAAAGTAAAAATAAAAGTTTAAAAGAAACTAATACAATGTAGCTAAGTGACCACAGGGGTGTGATTAACGGGTGCTAGTAATGGACTTCCCACATACCCCAAGTCTCCACTGTCCTAGAGTGAGGCCAACTAGATCTTTCTTTCTTAGGCCACTTTCAGCCTGGGGCTGGAGATGGGTGCTGTATGGAGGTGAGGTACAGTTTTACTAACAGTGGAGGTCAAGTTCTTTTATTTTTCTCTTTTTCTTAAACTGGTCTCATTAGGTGGTTCTGGCTGCCTGGACACCTTTAATGCTGGGATTAAAGGTGTGCACCACCTTTAATGCTGGGATTAAAGGTGTGCACCACCTTTAATGCTGGGATTAAAGGTGTGCACCACCTTTAATGCTGGGATTAAAGGTGTGCACCACCTTTAATGCTGGGATTAAAGGTGTGCACCACCTTTAATGCTGGGATTAAAGGTGTGCACCACCTTTAATGCTGGGATTAAAGGTGTGCACCACCTTTAATGCTGGGATTAAAGGTGTGCACCACCAACGCCCAGCTCCAAGTTCACGTTTTTTTAACACACATTGAAAGATAAGACTCAGGAGCTGGGCATGGTAACCCAGGCATGTAATCCTAGCACTCAGGAGGCCAGGGAGGCTTAGAAGTTCTAGGCTAGTCTGAACTAGATAGTTCAACTCTATTTTTTTTTAAGACAGAGTCAGGAAAAGAATGGGACCCTACTTGGCAATATTTAACATCCATTTCAAAAAATGCCCAATGCCTCCTTTGTAGGAGGCGATGGCTTCACATTTCTCTCTTCCCTCATAACAGCTCTCTTCTCCACTTGGCACTCCTGCCTTTACTTTTCACAACTTGGGATCCTAAGAATAAAGCCCTGTGGTAGCAGCTAAGATTAAGTGTGAATCTGAGGGCAAACTCCTGATTCAAGACCAAACCTCACCAGGGGATTTTCTCTTTGAAAGATTGATTTTTATTCTGTGTGTATGGGTGTTTTGCCTGCATGTATGTATGTATGTGCACCATGTGCATACAGTGCCCATGGAGAACAGAAGATGACATCAGATCCCCCAGAACTCGGGTTTCACATGGTTGTGAGCCACCAAGCAGGTACTGGAGTTCAACCGGGGTCCTCTGGAAGAGCAGCAAGTGCTCTTAACCACTGAGCCATCTTGTCAGCCCCACCAGGAGATTCTGATACCCTCAAAATTGACAGTTCCTTAAAAAGAATGCCCTTAGCATACAAAGCCTGCAGGGCAGTATTCTAGATCCACATATATAAACCAAAAGTATGCTCAGTTGGTAAAGTTTTTACATGTTGTGAAAGCATGAGGACCTCAGTCCAATCCCAGCACCCATGCTGAGAGCCGTGTGTGTGTGTGTGTGTGTGTGTGTGTGTGTGTTGTACATGCTTGTATCCCTAGCACTAAGACGCAGTTCCTGGGGCTGTCCATCCACGAGCTTAGCCTAAGCAGGGTCCCAGAGTCCAGTGAGAGACTCTGTCTCAAAAAAACAAGTGGGGAGTGCCTTAGGAATGTCACTGGAGGTTAGCCATTGGACTCCACAAGTACCCGCACACATCAACACACACACACAGATTAAGGGGCTAAGAGTATAACTCAATAGTGTGATGGCCTGGCATGCATGAAGCTTTGAATTCAATCCCCAACACTGAATAAACTGAGCATGGTGGCACACACTGGTAATCCCAAAATGCAGGAAGTGACAGCAGGAGGATCAGAAGTTCAAGGCCAGCTTGAGCTATATGGGACTTTGTCTCCAAAAACTGTGTGTGTGCGTGTAAAATGTGGACAAGGAGCAAACAAGTACACAGAGTGATTCAGAAATGCTTACATGGCACACAGAACTGTTTCACAGAGCAGACAGCTGGAGGTCAGGTGTCCCACACAGCCAACTTAATATAGGACTGTATGGAAACACAAAAGCAGGTACACAAATATAAGTTGATACCTTTCTTCACTGTCTCTCTTATCAATGGAAGAGACCCTGGGACATCAGTTCTGTACACAAACTGTGTTCTGTACACTTTCTGAAACTAGAAAAGGGAGTTGTCTTCATATGGATGATTCAGAATTGGAGACCCATCATCCTGACCTGACACAAAGGCCATCACGAGTGGAGCCTGACCCAGGGTGGGGAACCTGGGATGCTAGCAGCTTAGGGTAAAGGCACCTAACGGGACAAGGTGAATAGACAGCAAAACACTCAGAAGCACACAACTGGTGTCCAGTATATCCAGGAGGGCTCAGCCTAGACTGCAGACAGACTGCCTGTCATCCCATATGGAGAAATACCTCCCCATTTCAGGGGAACAGAAGCACAGAGGACTGTAAAGAGGGGGTGCCAATCAAATCACGAAATACAACAGAGAAGACCTATACTTCCAAACTTCCACTCCTACACTCCATTCTGGAACTGCACAGGGCTCTAACAAGGTAACAATGTCCTAGAAATGAGGACAAACGGTATGGTTCTGGCAAGATTCCCAAGGGTGTTTAGGAAAAACGACGCTTTTAAAGGGACGCCATTGGGGGCACTGTGGGAATTCTCCCTTCAGAGTCAGCTCCGCATGTCCCTTCACTTTCCTGCCACTTTAGTAAAGTTTCTCTTTCAGGTGAGTCCTCTGGTGTGTAATGAAGTTGGAGCTATTGCTGAATCCTTTGCCACAGTCGGGGCATTTGTAGGGCTTCTCTCCTGTGTGAATTCGCTGGTGAATGATGAGAACCGAATTCCAGCTGAAGCCTTTGCCGCACTCGGGACACCTCTACTTGGCAATATTTAACATCCATTTAAAAAAAATGCCCAATGCCTCCTTTGTAGGAGGAGATGGCTTCACATTTCTCTCTTCCCTCATAACAGCTCTCTTCTCCACTTGGCACTCCTGCCTTTACTTTTCACAACTTGGGATCCTAAGAATAAAGCCCTGTGGTAGCAGCTAAGATTAAGTGTGAATCTGAGGGCAAACTCCTGATTCAAGACCAAACCTCACCAGGGGATTTTCTCTTTGAAAGACTGAATTTTATTCTGTGTGTATGGGTGTTTTGCCTGCATGTATGTATGTATGTGCACCATGTGCATACAGTGCCCATGGAGAACAGAAGATGACATCAGATCCCCCAGAACTCGGGTTTCACATGGTTGTGAGCCACCAAGCAGGTACTGGAGTTCAACCGGGGTCCTCTGGAAGAGCAGCAAGTGCTCTTAACCACTGAGCCATCTTGTCAGCCCCACCAGGAGATTCTGATACCCTCAAAATTGACAGTTCCTTAAAAAGAATGCCCTTAGCATACAAAGCCTGCAGGGCAGTATTCTAGATCCACATATATAAACCAAAAGTATGCTCAGTTGGTAAAGTTTTTACATGTTGTGAAAGCATGAGGACCTCAGTCCAATCCCAGCACCCATGCTGAGAGACGTGTGTGTGTGTGAGTGTGTGTGATGTACATGCTTGTATCCCTAGCACTAAGACGCAGTTCCTGGGGCTGTCCATCCACGAGCTTAGCCTAAGCAGGGTCCCAGAGTCCAGTGAGAGACTCTGTCTCAAAAAAACAAGTGGGGAGTGCCTTAGGAATGTCACTGGAGGTTAGCCATTGGACTCCACAAGTACCCGCACACATCAACACACACACACAGATTAAGGGGCTAAGAGTATAACTCAATAGTGTGATGGCCTGGCATGCATGAAGCTTTGAATTCAATCCCCAACACTGAATAAACTGAGCATGGTGGCACACACTGGTAATCCCAAAATGCAGGAAGTGACAGCAGGAGGATCAGAAGTTCAAGGCCAGCTTGAGCTATATGGGACTTTGTCTCCAAAAACTGTGTGTGTGCGTGTAAAATGTGGACAAGGAGCAAACAAGTACACAGAGTGATTCAGAAATGCTTACATGGCACACAGAACTGTTTCACCTATCAGACAGCTGGAGGTCAGGTGTCCCACACAGCCAACTTAATATAGGACTGTATGGAAACACAAAAGCAGGTACACAAATATAAGTTGATACCTTTCTTCACTGTCTCTCTTATCAATGGAAGAGACCCTGGGACATCAGTTCTGTACACAAACTGTGTTCTGTACACTTTCTGAAACTAGAAAAGGGAGTTGTCTTCATATGGATGATTCAGAATTGGAGACCCATCATCCTGACCTGACACAAAGGCCATCACGAGTGGAGCCTGACCCAGGGTGGGGAACCTGGGATGCTAGCAGCTTAGGGTAAAGGCACCTAACGGGACAAGGTGAATAGACAGCAAAACACTCAGAAGCACACAACTGGTGTCCAGTATATCCAGGAGGGCTCAGCCTAGACTGCAGACAGACTGCCTGTCATCCCATATGGAGAAATACCTCCCCATTTCAGGGGAACAGAAGCACAGAGGACTGTAAAGAGGGGGTGCCAATCAAATCACGAAATACAACAGAGAAGACCTATACTTCCAAACTTCCACTCCTACACTCCATTCTGGAACTGCACAGGGCTCTAACAAGGTAACAATGTCCTAGAAATGAGGACAAACGGTATGGTTCTGGCAAGATTCCCAAGGGTGTTTAGGAAAAACGACGCTTTTAAAGGGACGCCATTGGGGGCACTGTGGGAATTCTCCCTTCAGAGTCAGCTCCGCATGTCCCTTCACTTTCCTGCCACTTTAGTAAAGTTTCTCTTTCAGGTGAGTCCTCTGGTGTGTAATGAAGTTGGAGCTATTGCTGAATCCTTTGCCACAGTCGGGGCATTTGTAGGGCTTCTCTCCTGTGTGAATTCGCTGGTGAATGATGAGAACCGAATTCCAGCTGAAGCCTTTGCCGCACTCGGGACACCTATAAGGCTTATCTCCCAAGTGGGCTCTCTGGTGCATCACTAAAATGGAGCCCCGGCTGAAGCGCTTGCCACACATGAGGCACTTATAGGGCTTCTCACCCGTGTGAGTCCGCTGGTGCACCACCAGCTGCGAGCGCTGGCTGAAGCACTTCCCGCAGTCTCCGCATTTGTAGGGCTTCTCGCCGGTGTGAACCCTCTGGTGCTTGATGAGGTTGGAACTCCAGCTGAAGCTCTCTCCGCACGTAAGGCACTCGTAGGGCTTCTCGCCCGTGTGCACGCCCTGGTGCGCGATCAGGCTGGAGCTCTGGCTGAAGCTCTTCCCACACACCCCGCACTTGTAGGGCTTCTCCACCATGTGGGTTCGCCGGTGAGTGGCCAGGTTGGAGCTGCGGCTGAAGCTCTTGCCGCACTCGCTGCACTGGTAGGGTTTTTCTCCCGTGTGTGTTCTCCGGTGGGTGATGAGCGCTGAGCTCTGGCTGAACTTTTGTCCGCAGTCTGTACATTTGTATGGTTTCTCTCCTGTGTGGATTCTCTGGTGTCTGATCAGGTTGGAGTTGTAACTGAAGCTTTCGCCACATTCCTTACACGCGTAGGGTTTTTCTCCAGTGTGGATTCCCTGGTGAGTATTAAGGCTGGACCGGTTGCCAAAGCTCTTCCCACACTCGGGGCAGGAGTAGGGCTTTTCACCTGTGTGTGTGCGCTGATGCGCGATGAGGTTGGGGCTCCTGCTGAAGCTCTTGCCACACTCGGCACACTGGAAAGGCTTCTCGCCAGTGTGGATCCTCTGGTGGGTGATCAGGTTTGCACTCCGGCTAAAGCTCTTCCCGCAGTCCCTACATTTGTAAGGTTTCTCCCCGGTGTGTGTCGTTTGGTGTCTACTAAAGTTTGAGCCATCACTAAAGCTCTTCCCGCACTCATCACATTTGTAGTGTTTCTCGCCTGTGTGGGTCCGTTCGTGTGTGATGAGGTGGGACTTCCGGCTAAAAGTTTTCCCACACTGGGGACATTCATAAGGCTTCTCACCCAGGTAGGTGCCCTGAAGGCCTATCAGCTGGCCAACTTCCCTGCTTTCGGATGGCATGTCCCTGTGGTCCTCACCGGGGGCATTTCCCTGGGCGCCCCCAGGGCCATAGTCTCTCTCAAAGTCACTCTCCCCATCAGATTGCTGATCTCCGTCCTCTCCGGGCATTTTCAAGAACGTTCCATGCGATTCCACATCCTCAAACATGTCTTGATTTGAGTTCTCTCCATTCTCACTCTGTATCTCAAAATCTGAAATAGAGAAAAACATACAACGTCCAGTCAATTCCCCATTATGATGAGAAAAAGAAACAATTAAAAAAAAGTTGGGGTGGGGGCTGCAGGGTGGCTCAACAGTGCTTGCTGCCAAGTCTGATGACCTGAGTTTGATCCCTGGGACCCAACTCCAGCAAGTTGTCCTCAGACCTCTACACACATGCTAACACACACACAATTTTTAAGTGAAAATAAAGAGGACTGAGAGATGGCTTAGTTGGTAACATGCTTGCTTGGCAAGCATGAAGACCTGACCTTGACTCCCAGAACCCATATAAAACATAGCTTGGTGGTGTGTGCTTGTAGTTTCCATGCTGAGGAAGCAGAGACAGGCAGATCCCTAGGGTTTTACTGGCCAGGCAAGTTCCAAGCCAGTGATATCCAAAAGGGAAGGAAGGAAGGAAGGAAGGAAGGAAGGAAGGAAGGAAGGAAGGAAGGAAGGAAGGACATGGGAGTGGCTGTCTCATAGGAAGGAAGGAAGGAAGGAAGGAAGGAAGGAAGGAAGGAAATGGGAGTGAGCAAGTTCCAAGCCAGTGATATCCTGTCTCATAGGAAGGAAGGAAGGAAGGAAGGAAGGAAGGAAGGAAGGAAGGAAGGAAGGAAGGAAGGACATGGGAGTGGTTAAGAGCACTGGTCACTCTTCCCAAGGACTAGGGTTCAATTCCTAGCACTCACACGGTGGGCTCACAACTGTATCTCCAGTTCCAGAGAATCTGACACTCTCTTAAGCTCCTGTGAGTCCTGCATGTGTGTGATGCACAGACAGACATACAGACAAACCACCCATATACATAAAATAAAAATAATTTTAAAACATGGCAATGTCTAAGGACCACCATGTGAGACTGTCCTCTGCCTTCCACATGTACACTTGTGCACTTGTGCACACACACACAAGCAGGCTTGGTTCTAGGAGTAATGTCCAACAGAAGAACATGTGCTAGGTATGAGAGAGGCTTTGGGTTCATTTTTCCCTTTTTTTTTAGTATTTTTTGTTTCATTTTTATTTTATGTGTATTGATGTTTTGCCTGCATGTGTGTCTGTGTGTGGATGTCAGATCCCTTGGAACAGGATTTACAAACAATCATGCGCTGCCATGTAGGTACTAAAACTTGAACCTGGGTCCTCTGGCAGGGTAGCAAGTGCTTTCAACCACTGAGCCATCTCTCCAGCCCCTTTGGGCTCAATTTCTAACAAACAATAAAACCCTAGAAGGACCCAAGTTCTTTTCCTCCTGGTTGCTATTTAGTTGCCAGGACTTATATCTTTGTGGCAATCACCAAGTCTTAAAGATTTGCGTTCCATGTCTCTACTTGTTTCTACACAAGCAAATACGCTCAGGTAGGGACTTAAAAGTCTCAATTGTGGACAGTGACAAGTACACAATGACCCTATGCTCACCTTGGTGCCTGGGGCTCAGCAGGCATTCAATTAAATCTAAGATGGATGGATTTTTTTTTTTGTATCACAGAAATACCTCAATAGCTCAATCTTATTAAAAAGTAAGGCTGCCTGGTGGTGGTGGTGGCACAAACCGTTAATTGCAGCACTTGGGAGATCTCTGAGTTCAAGGCTACCCTGATCTACAAAGTGAGTTCCAGGACACCTAAGGATGTTATACAGAGAAATCCCAGCTTCTAAAAATAAAGAAAGAGGTGAGTAGGGAGAGACCCTGGATACCTGTATCACTGACCAAGCCTGTTTGGGCATGGTCACATGTACATAGCGGGGTGGGACAAAGAGAGAGGCCCTTGGAACAGGATTTACAAACAATCATGCGCTGCCATGTAGGTACTAAAACTTGAACCTGGGTCCTCTGGCAGGGTAGCAAGTGCTTTCAACCACTGAGCCATCTCTCCAGCCCCTTTGGGCTCGATTTCTAACAAACAATAAAACTTTATAATATACCATCAGTAACCATATCTTGTGTACATTTGTGTTCCTCACCAAGTCTATAATAATCTCTCTCATTAAAATCCATTTGGTGTTTATACTTGACAATTACAGAAAACAAGTTGAAACGGCTTTTGCAATGAGGACTCTGGGTGTCTATACATGACTGTAACAAGTCAGTAAACAGTTAAAAGAACCCTTAAATCTGTCTATAATGAGAGCCTAGAGGCTTTGGGTTGGTGATACAAAATATTTATTTTCCTTGAAAATGTCAAATCTGGAGCTAGAGAGATGGCTCAGTGATCAAGAGCACTGGCTTCTCTTCCATAAAACTGGGGTTCTATTTCTAGCACCCACACAATGCTTCATAACTTCCTGTAACTCAGTTCCAGGGGATTGGAGGCCTCCTTCTGGCCTCTATGGGTACTAGGCATGCACTTGGTATAGATATAAATAAGGACAAAACAACCATACACACACAAAAGAAGAAAGATTTAAAAGAAAATGTCAAACCCTCAATATCCAATACTTGCAAACATTTTATTGAAAAAAATCATCAGAAAAAGAGACTAAAATCTACCATAGGATGAAGCCTGACTTTGAGCAGCTACAAACCTGGACCACACTGTGTTGTGTGTTGCTTTAATGGCCCTACAGACATTATGTACACTCAAAGAAATGCATACCATTAGAAACAAATGACTGTCAGGAATATTAATGTTGCCAGGAAGTTGTCAACAGCATTGTTTACCCTTATGAGTCTAATGAGGAAGTTTTCTTCCTGACTTTAATACCAAACAAAACCCCCAGGGTGGCACACACCTTTAGTTCTAGCCCTTGGGAGGCAGAGGCAGGTGGATCTCTGAGTTCGAGGCCAGCCTGGTCTACAGAGTGAGTTCCAGGACACCCAGGGCTACACAGAGAAACCCTGTCTTGAAAAAAAAGCAAAAACATAAAACATAAAACAAAACAAGACCCATCCTTCTGAGGCTTTGGTTTTTGTTCACTGATACCCATGGTTGTAACCTCCTTAAAATTTTGTTGTTATTTATGTGTCTGTATGTGTAAATGACTTCAGTGGTCAATGGCATCAGATCCCCTGGAGCTGAATTTACAGGTGGTTGTGAACTACCAAACATGGGTGCTGGGAATGGCAGCCCTGTTTTTCATTGCCTGATTAGAAAGAAGCGCAGAGCAGAAGGTTCAGCACAAGACTAATGCATGCATGTGGAATCAAGAGGACAAATCTGGTGTAGGTCTTCCTTAGGTACCTTTTGAAATCCAATTTCTCACTGGCCTGGGGCTTGTACAATTAGGCTAGCTGACTGGTCAGCAAGCCCTAGGGATCTGCCTGGCTCCATCCTCCTCAGTGCTGGTATCATAATTATGCACCACCATGCCTGGCCTTTAAAACAAACTTTATCTCTGTGTGTGTGTGTGTGTGTGTGTGTGTGTGTGTGTGTGTGTGTGTGTGTGTGTGTAGACCACCATGCCTGGCCTTTAAAACAAACTTTATCTCTCTCTCTCTGTGTGTGTGTGTGTGTGTGTGTGTAGGCCTGCCCATGTATAAAGGTCAGAAGACAACTTTCAGGGTTTAGTTCTCACCTTCCACCTTGTTGAGGCATAGTTTCTCACATTTGCTGCCCTGAATACTCCAGGCTAGCTGGCCTGTGAACCTCTTGGTGATTTTCCTGTCTTTGCTTCCCATTTTGCTTTCCCATAGGAGTGCTAGGACGACAGACAAAGACCACTGCATTTGGATTTTTCACAAAGGTTTCTGGATCAAATGTAAGTCATCAAGCATGCTTTTATGTGATGAGCCATCTTACCCACACAAAAGTCTCAATATGTAGTCCTGGCTGTCCTGGAACTCATGTAGACCAGAATGGTCTTAAACACACAGAGACTAGCCTGCCTCTGCTTCCCTCCCAAGTGCTGGGATTAAGATGTGTGCAACATACCTGACTGGCTTCATGCCTGACTTTTAATTTGGGTGCTAGGGATCAAACTAGGGTCCTCGTGACCTATCACCTTGCACAAAACTTAAGTCAAAATGGATCAAACACCTCAACATAAATCCAGCTACACTGAACCTATTAGAAGACAAAGTGGGAAATACCCTTGTATTAATTGGTACAGGAGACTGCTTCCTGAACATTACACCAGTAGCACAGACACTGAGGTCAACAATTGATAAATGGGACCTCCTGAAATTGAGAAGCTTCTGTAAGGCAAAGGACACAGTCAGCAAGACAAAACGGCAGCCCACAGACTGGGAAAAGATATTCACCAACCCCACATCTGACAGAGGGCTGATCTCCAAAATATACAAAGAACTCAAGAAGCTAGTCTCCAAAGCACCAAACAATCCAATTAAAAAGTGGGGTACAGAACTAAATAGACAATTCTCAATAGAGGAATCTAAAATGGCTGAAAGACACATAAGAAAGTGTTCAACATCCTTAGCCATCAGGGAAATGCAAATCAAAACAACTCTGAGATACCATCTTACTCCTGTCAGAATGGCTAAAATCAAAAACACCAATGACAGTTCATGCTGGAGGGGATGTGGAGAAAGGGGAACATTTCTCCACTG